GTTCCATGATGTTCTGACCAAATGGTATGTACTTTGATACCACAAAGGCTTACTCATACCAATTTACTGCACACACCGTGATGAGAAGACCGTTATCAACGCATCAGCATTGCTGCCTTCGGAACTGATGCCTTCAGCTGAAGGCGCTTGCCGTAGCAGGTACTGAACGAACTGTACCTTTAACTTGATCATTCCAGCATTACCTTGACTAGATGCACGTTTTAACAGCATGAAAACACGGGATGATAGCACAAACTTGCAAAGGGGGCAGTCGTTTCCACCCCGTTTATTAACATACAGCAAACCTTCTTCCAGTTTTTCAAAAGTCATGAAGGCTATCGTTGTTGACGCACTCACTTCTTACCTGAACTTACTTGGTTCCATCTCGTAGAAGCAAACATGGGTTCCGCTGGAACCGATCCTGCACTACAAATCGTCTGCTAGCATGGGACGGTTGGTCCGAATAAGGGGATGTTAGTGCAGGAATTGTCGTTTTCTACCTCGGCTTCTGCAAGACATTCGACTAATTGAACCATTGCATCCTTCTAGTCAAGCTTTAGGGTTACGACTTTGGCAATCCTCTCTTAGGGTAGATCGGTTATTCCTCTTGCACAGCCATCTGGATGTAAGAGCACGCGAATCTGTATCAAATCCTACACAGGTGAATTGCGATGTGCCACTAGGTTCGGTATTGGCCCCCTCTGTTGTTGCCTTTCATTAGCGACCTAAGGAACATAAACAATTCACGCTGCTTGCTTTACACCGATGGCACCAATGTTTGGTGGCACCATTAAGCTCCAGACGTCCACGTACATCCGCAATGCGCCGTCGGCAAGATTCACGAGTGATCAGTCTATAATCATCTTCAGTTTGACCTGAGTAATTGTCAATTACTCCAAATATGACACGAAACGGTTCACACTTGTAATCTTGACGACCAGGGTCTCTAGCACTTCGCTCTTAAACATAGCTCGGTGTACCGATCCAGGAAGACAATGATTACTCGAGGCGATCTGAAGTAGCTTCAAAACCGTATCCAAAACTTAGGGATCTTAAAGAAGGTTTTTGGACACTTCGACTCACCCGTTTTTGCTAGCTGCTTTCTGCATACATATTCCCGAACGGTGAAGATGCAATTAAAGCATGACAGCCATGGCTGAGGCGGGAGTTCATGGTCTTGGAGATTCCCTAACTTCGGGCCACAATAAACAGCGTCTGCTTATTTTGGGAGTTTTCAGTTGACATTATCGCCGTTTGCGCGATGAACATATCATATTTTACGAAAGTTTAAGCAATAAAAAATATCACCCGAGCCATCAACTGCTAATCCTCAACCACAGCAACAGAACGGCGAAACAATACAACCGACTGTAGGGTAGGCAGAAATTCTTCTTGTTGCGTGTTTTTCACATATGGAATTCATTTTCAGAACCTGTTATTTCAGCCGCTGCATTAGCTATGTTTGTAGATCGTGCCGGCAATGCGCTGTTCGCGTTGCACTACATCGTACAAAACAACTGAGGCATTTGTACATTCGAAAGCAAAACCGCATTAACCCACACTCGTTTTTCTAAAAAAGCCAAAGTCGGTGATATTTCTAATTGCAAAGCCGTATGTGAACGATTCCGATGAACATATTTTTGCTCCGCAAGTCCACTGTTTTCGGCATCGTTGTTCATTGTTTATGGTTGATAGTCCTTTTCTTCTGGAAACTCTCATTTACTATCATGAGGGAAATGCTGTTCCGACTTTTGTAATCCGCTACATACCACTGATACCGACTCCTGCGAGGTACGATATTTACGTGACCGGGGTATGCATATATGAAGAAAAATGTCAAGCAAGTACTTGGTCAAAAGGAATAAAGGTCTTCACTTCCAACTTGGTGTTGGTTGGTATCTACCGACGTTGCAGCCCGAATGACAATAGACACGTTTGCATGGATACGCTAGTTGACCGATTGAAGAGCCGGCGCCAGTGACGTTGCATTGTGAGTTTCATTGTCCTTCTTCCTCCCCATTGCTTCCATCTCTAAGCAAGATTTCATTCTCAAGGCATAATGTGACACTAATCATTATATCATTTGCTTTTTGGCTGTGTAGTTTGTGTTGTATAATATTATTATCTGGCTTTTTGTAAACACCTTATCATTCTGTATCGCGGCACAATAACTGAAGCGTTTCTCATCTTTAACGTTTAATGATTGTGCCGATAATGAGACTGATCTTGAGCACTGGGGTGATAGGTGAACCGGATCGGTTTTGCTGCACACCATAATATGTCTTTTCTATAGTTTGGTTCTTCGGGTTTTGAAAACAGGTGCAGCAGGAAAGTATGGCTGCTCACTGAATCAGCTCTGTTCTCCTCTATTCAGTTACCAAAATGCTCGAGAGATCATGCCACTCTAGCTCTGAAGCAAGCCCTAATCTTTTCTACCTAGGTGGGCAAATAAATATGAAACCGGCAACGGTGTACAGTGTTGACATTAAGCCCACCAGAAATTCCTTTAATTCATTAGTAGATTTAATTTATTCTTGTGCTTTCTACTATAAATTAAGCCAACTGGTAGAGGGAATTTAATCCATTTTTCTATTCAAATGCACTTCAGCGACTGTAGTTGATTTGCCCTTAGCCTATGAAGTCGTTCTGTCGTAAGGTAGGCCATTTTAAACACACATGTTCGATATCTTTTGGATAACAAGGCTGAATGCATCCAGTTTCTTGTGGCCGCCGCTTGAGGGGTTCACTGTAGACGGCACATTGGGTTGAGTTTAATATTGAGCTATGCTTAGACTGGATGGTGCCTGCTTAAAAGGTGCCCTTCGGGAGCCTGTACCATGTGCTGTCTGGAAATCGATCCAATGTGGTAACCAGTAGACTCATATCCCTTTTTGAACACGAGTATTGCGTTCTACACATGCCCCAGTTTTGGCATGTATGGTTTGTGTAAGGATGTGTTCCTGCCGATTGAATACATAGGACTCGAAACAAAATATATCCTTCACTCAAGGCTAACTTGACTCGTCTAAAAGGTTTTGTTGATGATTGTTAATCGGTTTCAATAGAAGCGCTTACATCATTCATTCCGACTATACTTTGTCCACCGGAGAGTTCCTTCTGCCATCCAGTCTCTGCCTGCAAAACCACCAGTCTGCATATCTCTCCCCATTTCGTTATGAGCCGGCTAACGTTAGAACGTGGACTTCATTAAAATCGGCAGCGCACAGACAACTCGCTTTTTGAAAATCGATAACGTAAAATATTCTAAAATATAATACCTACTTCAGTTTTGGCAGTCAACACAGAACAGCAAAATACGTGCAACTACCTACTGTACATTGAAATGTTGAGACATTTTTTTCTTTCCACTAAGCTTGAGTGCGTTAGCCTCTATTTTCACGTCACTTAAGCTAGCTCACTTGCAGCTTCAGGCCAAAAGGAGAGAAATGCGACACCACTTTTGACCTCTGCCAACTGCATTAAAGATTATTCGCCTTTAATGTGATCAACCTCAATTTTAGAGTTGTGTATTCTGAAATGTAATTGATCCAAATATAATATCGTATCTCAGTTTTGGCTTTAGTGAGCCCACTTAACCTGTTATGGATTCGCTCTATTTTGTGCAGACTAGTCGCTGGAGAGAATTTTCCCTATCCAGTAAATCATTTTTGTGTTGGTTTTGTCAACAATTCCAATATTCGGATTCTAATACATCATGAGCTTTGTTTTGCTGCTAGCCTCTAGCTTACTACATATTTAAAGCACACTATCCCAAATAGTTTCTCTTCACAAAGTGGATGTGTAGGTTAATCCAACTGGCCACACGTACTCATCAGAAGAAAATTCGTCTTCCCTCAGCGCATGAAAGCACATTCTTGACTTGACTTGAAACGGAATCAATTTAAACTCCAGCTCTATCGAGGTCGTTCGGTTTCCTAGGGCGCGACTAACCACTGCCCAATGCGACATTCTGCGTAATTGCCCAGTAACGAAAGACGCAGATGGAAATGGGGTTTTGCCCGTCCGAAAACACTGCACACCATTACCCGTTTCGAGCTGGTTTGCATTTATCAAACGGAGATAGCAGGCATCGAACCCGGGACCACTGGGATGTTAGCCTTGACCGCCAACCCCTAAGCCACCGGGTGTGTAGTGTTCTGAGTTGGGCAACACCCCATTGTCATGTGCTTCAGCTAGGGTTCGCGTGATCGCATGACCAATGTTCAGTTCAATGGGAATCGCAGTCAACATTGAGATTGCGTGTCGCCATCCATCCACATAACGTGTACTTCAAAGTGACCCCATAATCCAAAGGAAGACTCACTGTGACTTTACATCAAAGTACCGCAACCAGTTGTCCAATCCAACAAAGCGATCACTAAGGCACGTAAAAGGCATCCACAGCTGAAACACGACCTTCATGCACTGCAGCAGTCTCAAGGTTGGGCATCCAATTACGCCATTGGGATGCACAATCTCCCATACGAGGAACGGCTGAGACGGTTGGGGTGTTCAGCGGATGTTAGTGCCGATTACAAGGCGACGTGATGATAGCGCACTTGATACTGCAGGACTCCCATCCTGTGTGCCGCTCTTTACTCAACTCAGTAATAGTACAAAAATGAGAGGTCACTCACTGAAACTTGCGGACCGGCATAGCCGTCTGAAGTACTGCAGGAATTCCATATCTATTCGCGTATGTCACTCGTGAAATGCTCTCCCCGAATCAGTCGTTTCTACATCGACATAAGTAATATTTGAAAGACGGTTGCATAATGCGCTTATTCACTTACACTTTGCTACTTAGTACTATAACTTCCTTAGACTCCTGAAATATACCTTGGATTCATTTACGATCACCTGTTAGTGCAGTAAAACTACGTGTATTTTAGGATACAACATAAGAAACGGTAGGTCCTTCCTCGAATACCTAAGTACTAACTGCCTTTTTTGATAACCCCACCAAACTACCCAACTGGACCCACAAAGCAGTGCTTCTTAACCCGTATATATTCATTGTACATCTTCGGTTATTGTGGTAGTGTAACAACCAGAAATACAGTGTTCTTTATCCAATATGACGAAACGTGTTTGGTGTATGTACACAAATGTGCTATAGACTTACATAGGCCGTCATAATCAATTTTTTCAACATATACAACAAGGAAATTGTGACCGCTCAGCTTCGCTATCCGGAACGGAAAACAGTAAAGGAGAGGATCCGACCACGTTTTGTACGCGTCTTCTCTGGGTCACCTTTGAGCGCAGCTCTTCTGTTCGCCTTATGTAGCCTTCTCGGATTTCTGTATTCTCCAGCACGAAGGTGTTTCAATGCTTCGGCAGTTCGCCGTTTACGACGTACAGTCTGACGACCAACCGCAGGCGCCGACGCCTGCACTCGGTTTGCAACAACAATACCTTTCTGACCCCGACCGCGGAAAACCAAATGCGGTGCGTGACGCGTTCGAGCTTCCTCTATACAGTGACGGCCGTCTACCATCAGTCGATACCCTGGGTGGCAAACACACTCGAATCCACCTGGGGTGTTACGACATTCGGCGTAATTGGGATCGCACGGCTTGTATTCTTCACATTCGTTCACCTTTGTGCCGCAGTCGGGTCCCTTGTAGCCGCGTAGACACTCGCATCGATTCCTTTCTTTACACACGCCTCCATTACGACAGACGGGACTGCATTCAGCTCCAGTATGAGAACGCTGCAAGTAGGAAGACAAACTAAAGTTTTATGCGTATTCCATAAAACTTACACTATAAGCACACTTGGGATTTAGAAACGTGAAGTCAATGTAACCCACCTTCCCGTTCTTTTCTACCTTTTATTAGTCCAATCCTGGAAAGCCAATTTGTTACCGCGGATTCAAATAATTCCCTGCAAAACCCCACCATTGTACAGTGACAAGTGAACTAAGTAATATGGCCGATGCTTCATCATTTGAATTGCCCAGGGCTTGTCTGGTTAAACAGTCAGTCAGCTTTTCAATGCAATAAACACCTAACAGATTAAGTTGTTAGAGCTTAACAAAACGTTGTGCATTTCACTACCCATGTTTTGTATAGCAAGAGCTTTTTCTGACTGCATTGAAAAATTGCGTCTGAATTGCGACATTTAGGATGTTGTATTGCTCGAGCAACAATCCGCTCCCCACTAGTGCTGGTTTTTATGTCCACTCACTGTACGCGAGGCCACACTTTCAACTCTTTGTGGTCTGTAGGTGGTGCCTGGTAGTCAATGGTATGCTATGACTGATACAGGTATGATGATCAGTACTTTTCTATTTCAATTTCCCTGTCATCTCGCGTATATAGATAAAATGGAACGTATGATGATACAACGGCATTCTCCAACAGCAACTTGTGGGTATACTGAATGTCGAACACTATCAACGTGTGAATGATGCAGGACAGGTTGTCGTCACTGAAAGTCTCAGTTGGTAACCATGTGCTGTCCGCAATCTGACAATCAAAATCAGTTCCAGTCCAAATGCCCGCACTTATCCTACAGCGGCTGTGATTCTCAACATAACAGCAGGGACCTACGAATTTATATAAGACACTTACGTGGTCAATTGACGGCATCGGGTTCCGGATTTGTTTGTCACTACTGCCTCCACGGGGACAGCCAGAGGACGCCTACGCTTACAGAGAGAGCATGGGTGGATTGCGTTGCACCACCCACAGTTTCATCCACACACCCAATACTTGGTGTAAACCCGAAGGAATAGGACCGTGAGGCATGTGGGTGGTAACCAGGTTTCATCAACGGAGCCGGCCCCCACTCCTTCACAAGCAAACACAAGCACGCTGTATTTGGGAATCAAGCGCGCACTGGGCGGTGGCCGAACCGCAGCCTTCTGCACACTAGGTGCATGGAACCACTCTTCGAGCTTAGCACGGTCACGAGGACCGTGCACCTCATCTTCTCCAGAACGACCACCTCTTTCCTGATGACAATATGGACGAGTTCGTGGGTAATAGACAGGTAGGCACCTTGTCAACAAGCGCAGCCACACTTAAAATGACAGTATCATATAAAATAGACCGAAAACACCATACGGATATGCCGACATAACAGTCCACTAAATTACCACGTCAAATAAATGGGTGATCAACATATCCGCCATAAAGGTAACATGCCAGAACAAGAGATCATAAAACATAGGCAACCAATGCGCTAAAATAAAAAGTTAATAACCTTTCGTTTAAGCGATAGTTGAATTTAATAGATTATTCAGGAGACATTAAAACGAGGCAACAAAATGATTTATATATATATATATATATATGACATCAATTTTTCGCAGATGTTTGATGTCTAATCATGTTTTAACGAGTATGGTGTCGGAAAAGCAATTTGAGCGACTTGTGCATGTTAGCCAACGTTATAATCCCCTGATTCAAATCCCAAAACTACTAACTATATCCTTCAATTATCCGGCCCAAACTTTTACAAGAACTCTGGTAAACAGTTGACTGGAATGATTGCTTGCCGGCCGTTCTACACGTTAGATGACCATTCAAACCTAACGGACTCACTATCAAAAACACAGCTTGTACACTAGTGCATAAGATGGAGATAGGGAGTCATTCCACGCCTGAATTGGCAACTCAGAACTAGCTCGATCTGGCACGCTGTAGCTGCAATATTGTTGTAGACTAGAAGTGAAGGCTTTGGCCCAATTAGTAGAATGCTGGGGTCAGTCTTCTGTCGAGTTGCATACAGTGTGGCTGAAAAGAAGCAAGATCGCAGCCTACTGGATAACCATTAGAACAATTTAGGTGTGCGGTTTGGTGGCTCAGAATTTCTCCCATAAACATGTTTTTAAACCGAATGCTGACCCAAACTAGTTTGGATTACCCATAGCAGCTTGCCAACTGAAGGGAAACGTCAACGCCGGATACAGTGTCTTGTTTTGCACATTGTGTTATCGTTACTGTGCAGTACGAACACATACAAACGTGTCGGAGTAAATGGCTACAATAGCGTTTCAGATGCATTAACTGTGAATTGTGATTTCGATACCTATTTGCTTCTGATATTCAATGCTTTATGATCTTCCTGCCAAAGGGTTATGGAAGAATGGAATAATGGATTTATTAGGGATTTAAAAGAAAACGCTTAACAGTTCTCCTTAGGTAAAGGGTGAGATCAGATTTGGCTGTAACAAAACAAAGTAAGGAGTAGTGGTGGACTTCCTCAAATTTTAAGTGTTACCATTCTTTGGTTTGGGTCAAATCATGTAATACAGGTGATGTAAGGTGCCAAAACGTTTTGAACTCCGACAACGTAAGATCAGATATGAGTAAATGCGGAAGTAAGTTCCACGGCTGCGACACACAAAATGAGAACATGTTTCGGCGGCATTCCAACCGGCTATACTGTATCAGCAATTTCAACTAGTGGCTTCTCAATGATGTGTTGTGACTGAGTTTCTTTAAGGGTCATTATGAGTGAGTAGAGTCCTTGGCGATCTGATTCACAAATACAAGATAATCTCACAGAAGACGATATCGTTCACTAAAACTCCTAAAGTCTTTAGTCTCGACTGGTAAGGAAAGAGCAGCAACGCCTTAACATTTTTGGTGTCCTACGTTGTGGTTTTCCAAAGGCAGTGAGTTCATATTTTGGCAAGAGGTGCTACACCTGATTGGCGTATTCAGCGCGTGGTCTCACGTAAACCTTGAGCATTTGTGAATAGAAGATAGGAACAAATCGGCCAAATGCCCTCCGAAGTAGGCCCAAGTGTTGGTTGGCTTTTATTCACTGCTATCACACCTCGATTTCACCGTCCGAGATCGGCTTGCACGAGCACCCCGAGATCACTTTCATTAGGAGTACACGGCGGGACGTGTTCTCCTAGTCGATATTGATAGGTGCTCTAGTGGTGTATGCTCAGTATTTGTATTTGTCACGGTTAAACTCAATCACGTTCTGCGTCCACCACTAGTAAGCTCTATGCAGATCACATTACAATACCATTTGGTAGTCTACTCGTTTGATTAAGTACCAAATCATGAGGTCCTCCGCAACGAGTAGAAAGTTCGACGTCAACACTCGCGCTACCGCATTTCTGAATAGTAGGATCATCCGTGGATCTAGTAACGAGCTTTGAGAGACGCCTCAATGCACCTCTAGTTTGGCCTACAGGGGGCTACAAACCCGAACATCTTGCAGCAGCTCTTTGCCTCTAACGACGACCTCAGGTATTCTCCAAAAAGCTGTTCTGTCACCATCCTTAAACTCCACCTACATTATCCCTGCTGTGATAACCGTACAAATGATATAACCTTTGATGCAATCATCTTGTCACTGTGCCCTCAAACTAACTGCAAAGCTGCTTGGATAATCTCCTGCAATGCTCAGCCTCGCGATGTTTGCCGTTAAAGATATGTAAACGCACTGACGTTCTATTCTCCCTACATAAACAGTTCCCTACTAGCGAATTAACACAACCCATCCTCAGGTTCATCTCGATGGTAAGGCGTCATACTGATCAAGGCCACTTCATGCAAATGAAATACTCACTACAATCAGTACAGTCTTATTTTATAACCCTCGTCTGCGGTCATGCTCCTTTTCCCAAAATTGGATTCTGTGGTTCATAACTGCCTGCATTTTTTTCACACTGGACCTACGGCTCTCTAATGCTTGCTCGTGAGTTTTATACAAAGATTTCAAACTAGGTGAAGGGTCACTGAAACAAAGGTATATCCGCATTGACATTCTCAAGACAAATTCATCTCAAACCATTTTGTCCATTCCTGATAATTCCTTCTCTCTTACGTCAGCCACTCCTTCATGGCACACCCTTTCTGGTGTGCGAAATTATGGAATAATATAAATCCGAACACAAGCAGATGGTTTGTCCGTCTTTCAATATCTAGATACTTTTCTGCGTGGTAAAAGTGATATCACCTTCTAATCAACATGAAATCTTATCAGTCTGGTTTTGCGATACAGTGACCTGTGTTGCTCTTGGTACTTTACCGCTATCGCTCACACTATACTTTCTTTTATTATGCCGGTAGCTTGAGAATTTTATATGAAATGTATTCTCCCTGAGTGCATAAACGCATCTGCTTTAGTTGACCTTACCTGATAACACAGAGTGAGGAATAAAGAAGATCAAGCCAAAAATTGGAAGCGGATGTTCGATTTAGATTCCCGTTCAGCTTAAATGACTTCAGTTAGCAAACAGCTGGTTTTGATCGCCGTCCCTTGCTTTATTGCTTTTCGTGTGCTAAGCCGACTTGCGTTAGAGAGGTTTAAGCTTTTGGTTTTTAACTTATCAGTCAGTTGTTCCAACCTGCGTGGGGGCAAGTGACGTGGCAAATACACAATCTTCGTTTAGTCCCTGGGTATTGCGCGTCACCGAATTGTTGTTGCCGTCGACGGACAATTCGACACGAATAACACTTTTAGGAGTAATTTTTGTAAAATGTTTGTGACAATGAATTACATATGTGCTGGGGTATTAGCTAGCACTCGGATTATCGTTCCTCTGCTTTGTGATCGCTACAAACCCCGAACAGCCGCACCCGATATAAAATGTCCTTTCACCCTCTGTGGTCATTTCAATTTTTCTCGCACACTATTGTGTGTGCGCACCTGCGAACCAGTTCGAGGAGCGCTAATTAGTGCTTTCTACGTCATGAACATAACTTGTGTGTATTAGGATGCTGCTCCAATTCGCAGTTT